GACACAAACCTCATGTGTTTAAATCCATTAAACACAATTTTACACCTTGCTGATAGGACCTAGATGTGAGACTTTGAACACATGGCAGAGACACATGCCAGCTCAGGTGTTCGGATGGAGAGCCCCTTGCACGTGCATGCACACCTGTGACTGTTCTCCCAGCGACATCCCTGATGGCCTGTGCTCAGCCCCTGTGGCCCTTAGGGTTCGCGGATATAAGATTGCTACATAAGTATCATCTTGGGTGTTGAATGTATAGAAGAAACACTTTCGCTAGGACAGAAAAAAAGAGCTAGATGAAAGTTAATAGCACCAAAGAGAATATATTGAAAAAAGGTAGAGAGGAAGGGAGGAGGTAGAGAGAGAAACAGAGATGGGGGGTGGGGGAGGAGAACAGACTCGAGGAGTTCAGAGCAAAACAAAAGGAAACTCTGATCCATCTTCCCTCTTTGTGCTCCTGATGCTTCTTACATTCAGTTATGCTCAGGCCATCGCCTGGCCTTGTGCACTTATCCGTGGGACACCGCAGCTGAGAAAATGCTCCGCTCCCTGTCCCAGCAGGAAGGAGGGGCCTCTGCTCAATCTTTTAATTCAGCAGTTGTCTTACCATTCTTGTAAGATAGGCTCCATCCCCAGGAACAGATATTTTCTTGAAAGCTTTTTTTTTTTTTTTTTAATCCAGTAATCCAAATATTCTTTGAAAGACAAATATTACAATATTGAACAATAGTTACCACTTACCAAAGTACTGTGTTAAATCTCTTCTCTTACTTAAGAAGCCTTTCTATGTACTCAAGCTGCACTCCTGTTAGATCGTCCCAGTTTTACAGATTATTGATGAAGACGTTTTATGGCTCCAGACACGAACAGAAACACATAGAGTGGTAATTCTACATGAGACCTTCCTGTTTTCCCTTTGCACCTGCATGTATTTCTGTCTTTTCTTCTGTGGTCCCTGATTCCCATCGATATCAGGTAGAAACTTTGGGTCCTGGATCCTGGGCCAGTTTTTACAGTTTCTTCCTTTTTTTTTCTTTATAAAATAATTCCTTTGTAGTTCTCAGAGCACTATCCAAATTAAACCAAAATGCACACCCCCATGGTTTTCTTTTGCTTTCTTAAATGCTTCCCTTTTTCTTAAAAAAAAAGGGGGGGGCCAAGTTCCCCCTTTGTTCTAAAGATTGACTGAATTCACAGGCCCAAATTCGGCTCTTAAGTTTTTGAACTATACAGACTAAGAAGTAGCAGTTGGTAGTCACTAAATGTCAGTAGCTAAGAGGCCTGATTTTCAGCCTTCCCTTGTCCCCATACCCCACTTAAGTTTATTCCTTTTAGCATTGGAGCCCCTATAGACGGCAACAGTGATCAAGACTCTTATGAGCCATTACATTAAGAAATAAGCCTTCAGAAGTCCGAGGGATGTTTTCTAGTCCTAAAAACTGATAGGTATTGCATAGACACTTCCGTCACTCCAAACAAGACTCTGTGTACCCAGATCGCTCGGAACACTTCAGTAGCTCCTGTGAGCGAGCTGAAAAGCACGAGCGGGTTTGGAAGATGCCACTGTGCTCCAGGGTTGGGTCTGGGAAAGAGCCGGGGTTGTTGTTAGAAAAACAGATTTTCAAAGGTTGGGGTAGCAGACACACTATCTCTATCTCTTGACTTTAAAGTTGGTTTCAGATAAAAGGACAGCTTAATAATAGGGCTGGTTGTTGGGAGGATCAGGCTTCTAAAAACCTTAATATGCTTTCAGCCTTCCCCGGAAGCAGGTGACAGGGTAGTTAGCGTCCACATCCTCTGCTGGCACACTGCTGGGCAGAGCTCCAAGGAAAGCTGTGTGATGACAGCAAGATTAGGGTGCAGGAAGCAGGGCTGGGTCACATGCTGTCAGTTGTCGTTTTCTCCTGTTCCCTTAGCATGTTGATTCTGCTATCACGGGTTATCGCCAAGTCCCCTAGTCAGCGGTTGTTCATTTGAATTCCCATGATATCAAACTATTTCAATGGAGACCCCTGTCCATCTTCTTTGTCACACATGCGTTGATGTCATTCCTTACACTGTACCTTCCGTCAGTCCGTTCAAAGACCAGGGCACCTGTGCGGAAATAATGCCACACCGAGGTGACGGTTCAGTGTCACTGAATCTGCAGTGTCTGGACGCACCACATTGAGCTGTACGTTTTCAACAATTTTGTGCTTGAAATGATCTTGCAAGCATGTCCAAACAGGAGTGAGGCCATTCTGGTGGTATCTCTGTACTCAATTCTGCTCTCAATGGATCTGGGAATATCCACATTTAGAGATAATATATCCTATGGAGTCGCTAGTGCCTAAGTTAGGGCTACTAGACGGGTGCGCTCAGTTTTAGACACTGTAACTTCTTTACACTTTATTATCTATAACTATGCTTTCTTCCCATTAGTTCCCCTGTTTCTGTTCTCTTTACAACTGCAAAACGCCCAACTGTTGAAGTCCTTACCCCATTTCCCAGAACCGGTCTTAAAGTAAATTATAAATGTTTAAAAATTTCTTTAAATTGTTGATTATTATTTTGGCAAGACAAATAATGAAAACTTTTTTAAATGTTGAAGTAAACTGGATACATGTCTTTATATTTTGCCATTGATTTCTCTATAGGACACAAAAATTTTCAGTGCCGCAAAAATAAATAAGTGTGGCCTCATCTGTTTTAAATTGTAGTAAGTGAATGAATAAACAAATGAAGGGAAGGGTGCTCTGAGTGCGGTCTTCGTCGTGAGCTTCAACAGCATAAAGAACAAAAGCTTTTCGACATTGACCCCCACTGTCTACAGCCATTATAACACTGGTCTCATCAATGTGTATATAGAGGGATATGGTGTTTTAGATACTTGGGTGTTTTGTTTTGTTTTTTTAATTGTTGTCTCCTTCTGAATTATCCGTTCTATTTAGCGGTTCTTCTCCAGAGTGATTCGTATTGAAGTGAAGGGAACAACCTGCAGTGGTATGGCGACTGAGAGCCAACTGTCAGAATGTGTTGGAAATGCAGGTTAAGATTCTGGGAAGACTCCTGGATTTGGGATTTGTTCAAGGAGTTAATGTCAAGTCTTAGCTCTGTCAGTTATCATTATTATTATTTTTAATCCTCACCCAAGGATATTTTCCCATTTATCTTCAGCTAGAGTGGGGGGGTGGGGAGAGAGAGAGAGAGAGAAACATTGATGTGAAAATCGACTGGTTGCCTCCCGCACAACCCTGACCAGGGCCATGGTCGAACCGCAACTGAGGTACGTACGTGCCCTTGACCAGAATTAAACCCTCGACTCATTGGTCTGCAGGCCGACGCTCTAACTGCTGAGCCAAACCGGCCTGGGCGAGTTCTGTCAGTTACCAACTGAGTAAGTCCCTTAGCCTCTCCAAGCCTCAGTTTTCATGACTCTAAAATGTTAATTGTCACAGGAAGATAATGCCCAGGTTATGGGTCAATATGAGAATTAAATGGGGCATTATATTTTTAAACTGCGATCACTATTAAATCTATACAAAGTTAAAAAAATAAATTGCCTTGCCCTGGCCACTGTGGCTCGGTTGGCTAGAGCATCGTCCCGCGCACCAAAGGGTCATGAGTTCAGTTCCTGGTTAGGGCACATACCCAGGTTTCGGGTTCCATCCGCTGTCGGGGCGCATCCGGGAAGCAACCCATCCATGTCTCTCTTTCACATCGATGTCTCTCTCTCTCCCTCTCTCTTCCTCTCTTGCTAGAATTAATGAAAAACATATCCTCAAATGAGAATTTTATTTTATTTTTTTGGTATGTGCCCCTAGCGGGAACCGAACCCAGGACTCTCTGGTCCGCAGGCTGATGCTCCAACCGCTGAGCCAAACCTGCCAGGGCTGGATTTTAGAAATAAGTAAATAAATATGCTGCTTTGAGGATTGCAAAGGCCCCCGGTGGTCCTTTAGCTCCTGTGTATTCCTGCTGTGAGGTAGGGCCACACTTAAATTCTTCCAGTTGGGTCAAAGTCTGTATCGCTTGGAAAGACTTGCAGAGACAGAGATGCTGTAGGACTTTGCGCCACAAAGATAGTTACAAAGATGAGACATTAAAACTAAATTGTTTTCCTTCATTATTTCTAATCACAATTCTCTTGTTTCTGATGTATTCCCCACCCTCCCTTCCTGGGGCCATTTCGGAGCAGGCCCTTCTGCGGTGGTCCTCCCTTCCTTCCCTGCAGGCAACTCCTCGAGTGGTTCCCTCATCTTAAACAAACTCCACTTTTCATCTCCTGATGGGGGTCATTTGTCTTAAGTTCTGCACAGGAAGAAGATTCCACAGTGCTCCTTGGCTACTCGCTCCGATCCAGGGCCCTTGTGCTGAGGAAACTGTTCCTTCATGTCGCAGCTGAAGGCCATTTCCTAGTCTTACTTCTTCAGAACAAGTTTCAGAAACAGCTGGTCACCATCCTTTCGGTCCGTCCTTCCTCGACAGTACTTCAAAAACGTTCTATCCCTTTTCAGTCTCTTTTGTCAAGCGTGAGTTATAGAACTTCCTCTAGCTTTTTCTCATCAGGCGTGATGTTCAGCCCTTTGGTAAGCAGCACGGGGTAATTGAAAGAAGATGGGCTCTGCAGTCAGCCCTGGGTTTGCACTGAAGCTGTGGAACTCACCAGCTGTGGGACCCCAGTCCGAGCACCTACCTTCTCGACCTGCCGTTTCCTCCTCCGTCGGGTGGGGTCAGTGGTCCTCGCCCACAGGGTCCCTGTCAGAATCAGTGATGCATGTGACATTCCTGGTATGTAAGCAGTGCTGTCCCAAATGCTATTTCTCTGTCCCTCTCCCTGCCTTTGAGACTCTCTTCCTACTAGTTGTGGGGCCTAGAATTGAACACAGTGGGAAGAATTTTACATTATTCTGCTACCCATCCCCCTCTCTGTGTTCTCCCTCTGTTATGCTGTTCCTTCACCAGAGCTCTCCCGGGGTATTCATGCCATTTCCATACGCCTTCTGACATTACATCCACAGGGACAAGCTCCTTCCGTGAACCAGCTCTGTGAAGAGACCATCCAGAGGCAACCGTCTCAGAAGGAGTGAGTTAGTTGGAATTGGAGGAGTCCGGGATAGCTCTTAACCTCATTGTCACCTTGAGGAATTTCCCAAGTCACCTCTATGTGGCTTTATCTGTGACTCCCTCCAATATAGGACCCATGAGATGTCCTTCTGTTCATTTCAAAACACTGAGTTACTCCTGCCTAGATTTCCGCCGCAGATCTAGATGAACCCTGGTGCAGTTTCGGGGCTGACCTCTGTGGCACCGTTGTGCCGATCAGAGACAGGCGCCAGTCCCAGCAGGCGCAGTGCCACGCTGGGAGGACAGCGTGGGAAGTGCGGGGTAGGCTGAGCTCGACACCCTCGGATGGGATTAACCTTTCTGTAGGAGCCAGTGTTGGCTCTGGTGTGGTTTAATTTCATAAAATAGATGCTCAAAAGTACTCATTGTCTTCATCTCTCTGGTGTCATCTAATATCAACCCTTTGTCATTCCATTGGCCTCCTTTTCCTGTATCTCTTACCCCTATACAGTTTATAAATAGCGCTGTATTCTCTGCTTCAGATTTGCTCCCACTGCTTCTGGTGGTTGTAGCTGTTTCTTTACATGCACCTTCGATTACCTGCCTTGACTTAGCATTTATTTGTGGAGTTACTTTGTGTTTCAACTTTGGGCAATTTGGGATTAAGCCAAACAGATTTTCCTAAAAATTTTAGCATTCTAGTAACAGATTCTTATTAAAAGCAAATTGACAAGATTTATATAATTCATTCGTTACAGTGTTGCTTCCCTTCCCCTCTGGAGATGACTTCAGTAAGCATTTACGTGGCCTCAGCTGGGGTAGTGGAGAGAAAGGAGAGGGTTGCTAAGAGATTGGATAATCCTCACACTGACTTTCACAGGAAGTGAGGGTTCAGAGTTCTAAGAGGAGTACCATGGATGTTCTCATCCTTTACAGGCAAGAAAATCCTTTCATACTAAGCTCATACTTTGGACAAATCCCACGAAGAACAGTAAGGGAGGTGCGTGAACAATTAGATTTCCCTCAGCTCAGCCACGTCTCCGCCAGCTTGTTTTCATGCCCAGTAACTGGTCGTTATGCTTACATTCGTCTCAGGGAGGTGGAAGAATACTGTAATGCACACACACAGTTTGTGTAAAAAGGCATAAAATTAATAAATGAGAAACCTGAAGATGAACCAGAGGCAAGATTTCCTGACATCATGATGTACTGGGCAGCAGATGAGTCTTGGTAATGGATACAGTTGGAATGTCATTATTAAATTCACCTTGTCTCCATTTTTCTTCATCTATTTCTAATCTGCCTGTTCGGTCAGAGCCTCCCTGGGAACATAACAATAAAACAACCATGGAGTTAAGTAAATAGAAAAACCTAATAAATATTCCTCTAACTCCAGCTTGAATCATTTCTTTCATGCTCTATCAATCATTTGCAAACATGTGACAGGACCCCTCCTAATCTGTTATGACATGCACGGTACCCCGAGAAAGCTTTCCTGTTTATTTCTTCTTTGAGTGCATGTATACATATTACATTGAGATACGTAATATCTGGAATAGTCCTTGGCTGGGGACAAGTGTGGGTCTGAGGAAACAAGGCCGAAGAAGAGTAAATGGGGCTTAGGTGAAGGAGGCGGGGGCAAAGGGCACGGTGAATGGGAGAGGAGACTAGTGGCAGACGACCTGGGGCCCTGGGGCCCTGGCATTTCCACAGCTCTGGGGAGTAGGCAGCAGAGGCGGTTTTCAGGGAGAGATAATAAAATCTGGTTTGGACATGTTTGCTTTAGATGGCAGTAAAATATCAGGTGTGTATATTCTGTAGACATTGAGAAATATGTGACTGAAGAGAAGGTGAGAGGTCAGGCTGGAGACAGGGATCTGGGCTCATCGCTGCACAGGTGCTAATTGAATCCAGGTGCACTCAGGACAGGCGGAGACAAGGGAAAGGGGAGCAAGGCCCCCCAGGCTGAGCCTGGGGCACTCGGTGATCCGGCCTGGAGGGAACTGGGGGCGGGGCTGAAGGAGAAGCAAGTGACGATATATGAGCATTCCTGTGGCCTGAGTCCCTTGCCACCAAGGCCTTGAGCATGCTGGGAAGCATGCTGCAAGGTGGCCCAGATCCCTAGAACCAGGAAGCCACTAAGAAGTTCCATGAAGACAATGGGGGGAAAAGGAGAAACACCTGTAACACAAATAACTAACTAACTAACTAAAGAAGTTCTATAAAGAGCTGCAGTGTTTGATGGCTCTCAGAAAAGCATCGAACAAAAGTGAGGACTGCAGCCCTGGCCAGTGTTCCCAGTGGTTAGAGCATCGACCCGCAACCAAAGGGTTGCGGGTTCGATCCCTGGTCAAAGGCATGTGTACCTGGGTTGTAGGTTCAATCTCTGGCCCTGGTTGGGGCACGTGTAGGAGGCAACCAATTGATGTGTCTCTCTTACACTGATATTTCTCTCTCTGTCCTGCTCCTCCCCTCCCTTCTACTCTCTCTAAAAATCAATGGGAAAAATATCCTCCGATGAAGAGGCAACACTGGGGCAGAATTCGGTCTGGTTACCCTGTTCCTCCAGGTTGTCTGGCACAGTGCTCTGTAAGACAGCATCTGTCGAATGAATGAATGAGTGGGTGATGGAGCAGATGAATCCGTCAAGTAAGCAGACGTAGGTAATCATGACATTCTCCCATGAAAGAGAGGATGATAGCATAGGACTGAAGAGGACCTATGAATATTGCTAATAAGTCTAACCATTAAAACAGGCAGGAAGGAGAAAAGGAGTGGAGAAGACAGAGGAGAAGGCAGAGCCTGGGAAGAGAGGAGACAGGAGTAACGAGTGAAGAAGGCCAGGGTTTCCTGGAGTGTGGAGTCAGAGAGGTAAATGACCTAAGTTGACAAGCTTGGCCTTTCATTTGCTGGTGTCTCCAGCCGTTTCCCAAACATTCATCTTGTCCCTCTGCTGGAACGTCACGCTTCGTGGCAAAGACAGGAACTACTTTTGTGGATCTCTTTAGTACCTCAGAGTTCTACAAGCCTTTACTCTATACCGTATGGCAGCCTGAAAAAAAGGAAGGCACGTTTTCAGTGATTTCTAAAAGTGTGTAAGTATCTAGAAATTTACTCAGGGAAAATGTTCTGTTTTGATAGACCAAACTAAAACATCCCTTCTCCACTCAGAGGAGGCTTTTAAACAAAGATTTTCTAAATAATTTACTCAAAGCCCTACCTCTGGAAGGGTGTCTAGATGCACTGCTTGTGAAATTTCCTTCCAAGCCGGCTATGCAAACATCCTTCCTACTCTTAGCAAAACGAAGAAATGGGCCTAAAAGATGTGAACCAGGTTTCTCTCTCTCACTCCGTTTTTGTTCTGTTTTCATAAGAATATCTGTAAATAATGATCTGAACAAGAAAAATGGCTGTGGACGCATCAAAAATGTCATTTTCAACTTCTTATGATTTAAAAAACTGAACACATTTTTCTCAAACTTTTAAGCAAATGAAATTCACCTCTTGGTGGAGATCAAGATGAAAGTGTTGACGAATATCAGGAGGCTGAATGACATCTGTCTCTGACTTTATACTTTTCTACCGCAAACCCTCCTATAAGGGCAATGAAGAGATAATCAAAGGGCAACAATGTTACTTGTTTTGTTAAATGTATAAGGGTTGTTTGCATATGTTTCCTAGCAGTAAGCTTCTATTTTTAGAAGTGATGTTGATACCGTGAAGCATACCAGGGGGTTAGCCACACGCTTCAGAGCACCTCTGGGTGTAACAAGGTTTCTGCAGGAGGGAAGGGGTACTGCTCTGGTAACTCTCTCAGCGGGGTGAAAAGGACAGGGAGGTCCAGACAGTCTTGAATCATCTGCTAGAACTTTCCCACCGTTAAAGGACAAATATCAGATGAGCACATTTATCAGACCTCGGAGACAGTACATTATGCAACATGGACTTGCTGATCCCAAACAAGAAAGATGAGGAGTACCATGAAAATATAGACTGGTGCCCTGCACACAGCAATAGCCAGGTCTTCATTTTTCACACAGATCTGCATGTTAGGCACTTTGGTGTGCTTGTTACATGGTACATCAGACAGTGCCCCAATGAAAATACAGCAGTGGGCCATGAGTTCCTGGCCCAAAAGAAAGCTAAGGTGAATTAGGGGAAGATGTCTAGTAAAAAGATGGCAGTGGTCCCAATGGAAAGCCATATGGAGGCTGATGCACTTTTCTGTTTCCACTGCTGTCTGATTTTCTGAAGGATGGGTTACTGCTGCAGAGGAGTCGTGAGCATGATGACAGGAGGCAGGTCCCTATAGTCAGTTCATTTAGAAGCAAACTCTAGGAGGTGTTTTAGTTAATAAGGGCAGGTATTTCCAATGCAGGTCTTTGAAGCTGAAATGGAATTTAAGTAACAGAAACTGAATATTATTTCAAAGGTGAATGCAATCATCCTTATGTAAGTCTGCCTTTTTTCCAACTCTGGAAAGACAGAGAGCAGTGTAGAAAGGTGTGGCATGTTCTGTTACCTGCCATTAAGTTGAATGAATTAAAATGTCTGTGAATCCATCAACACCACTAAAAGACACGCCATAGAGTCAGTAGGTGGTAGACTATGTATACAAATGACAAAGCATAACAAAAAAAATTCACCAGAAGGTGTTCAGACCTGCAATCTATTTCATTTGTGGCCTTAGTGTTTTTCTGTTTTACCTCAATCCATAAGGGAATCAAGGCAGCCTTGAGTTTTCAGTGACCAAAGATGTGACACTTAGTTGCTGGTCATTGCCCTTGGGCACAGAGTTGAATTCTGGCTCCTGGGAGCTGGTGTTAGGGAGACAACCATTTAGTTTGTGAATGACGGGGGCCAACACTGCCAGTAGTCACATCCCAGTGTGACCACATTGCTTCCTCACCTGAGCTTACATAGTAACTGTCTTTAAGAGACTAAGCAGTGGTTTTAGTTTCTTTGTGAAAATAGCCATCCAGTGAGACAGGAGCCCTTGGTAAAGGTTGGAGATGGAGTCAGC